CTGCGCGCCGCTCCGCGGCGCTGACGCCCGAGTCTAGGCTGCCGAGCGGCGTTTCTCAGAGCCGGAAGTGTTTTAGATATCGCGTGGGGCAGCAGATGGGGAAACTGAGGCTGAGCTGGGCGCTGGGCGGCGTGGTCTGCCTGTCAGTTGCTGCCCTGATAAATGAGAGCGCGGGCTGCTCTGGGGCGGACCGGTCTGGCCCAAGGTCACGCGGGGGCACTTGGCCTACCCTAGTAGCCCTTCCACCACCACCCCACCCCCGCCCCCTGTTTAGTAGCCCAGCAGCCACCCCTCTCCCCGTGTCCCCTGCCCCTAGAGCCCTCCACGATCACAGCAGAAACAGAACTCCGAGCGGGCTGGGGGAGTGTCCGGGAAAAGCTCAGTTCCCCCTTACAGTGGGCTGTCTCTCCTTGCCCCGCCGCCTGCAGTCGAGGGAAGAGGCTGTAGTTGCTGACTTTGGAGCGGACTTCACAGCTGGGTAAACCGGCTGGGAGAAATGGAGTGAGCTCCCCAAGACCACAGTGCTAGTTAGACGAGGATGAGAACCAGGGATACCTGACCCAGAGTTGGCCTCCACAACTCTGCCCTACCCTGGAGTCACACTCGGAGTCTGGAGACCTCTGCCTAACTCAGAGTTGGGGTGAACACATTAGTCCCCCTTCCCTAACTCAGGGGCCATTCTCTTCAGAAGATATGAAACCGTTTTAAACTCTGGGGCATCAGTTCATTCACGTAGTACGTGCCCGTATATGCACTGCTTAGGCGGGGGATAGAGCGTCAAGTGGGTCCTGCCTTCAGGAAGTGCACTGCAGAGGGCCCAAGGAAACCCTGCCCTTCGGGAGAGCTGGGCAGAGGAGAGACTACCGGAACATCCGCAGCCAGGGCGGGTGTGGAGCGGCCAGGAGACCCAGCCCTGTGTATGGTATTAGGACAGCCTCAGCCCTGGGCTTGGGTCCTCCTGGGCCACACTCAGTGCTTCTGCGAACTGGAGCTTTCCCACCCCTGAGGATTTAGTCGGCAGGGCTCAGTGGGTAGAAAATGGTCCAAAGGTGGCTTTGAACTAACCCCAGAGCCCTGAGATGTGGGCTGGACACCTGTCCCTGCCACTTCCTGGCTGTGTGACCTCGTGTGTCTCTCTACCTCTCTGGGCCTTTATCATCCAATGGGGATCTTAAACGTGTTAGTGAGTGTTCCGTAGATGCTCAGGCACGGTCCAGAGTGTGGTCTGGATCAGAGGCCTCGCCGAGTCACACATAAGCGAGGCTGTGCTTATTTGGTGGCTTATTTACTCTTGACTGGGAGTAACTTGTTCCTGCTCCCAGTCAAGAGATGTCGGAGGCAGAGATGGGGACGGCTGTGTGCCAGGCTGAGGTTGAGGCTCCCTCCCGGCTCCAGAAGCAAATGCTCATGTCCCAGTCAGCGGTGCAGTTTTTACAGACCCTGTGCCCTTCCTCACATGGGCATCAGACAGAGGTGGGCTTGGGCCTAGCTTTGCAGCTTCCTGAGTGATCGGCCAAGATAGGTGACTTCTCCGTGCCTTGGTTTTTCCATTCGTGAAATACCTGTCTCCACGGTTGTCATGAGGATTAAAGGGGCCGAGGACACACAGGGCCCAGTGCAGTGTCTGACACCCTAGGGGTCTAAGGCCCAAGGAGTGAGTGGGCGGGCACAGTTGGCCGATTACATGTGGTTCCCATGAGGGCTGGAGACTAGAGGGTTTCCAACAAGGCTCAAACTATCCCTCCCTAACAGGCACCTCTAGGCTACAAAGGCTGACCAACCCAAGACCCGAGAAATGGCACTAGGTGGTTTATCGTCATGTCCCTGTGCCCTGCACGCTTTGTAAACACGCTGGGCCTGACAAACTGGAGCAGCGGTGGCGGCCTCGCTTCCTTAACCGTGTGACAACGTTAGGAGGGGGCTGGAGCAGGGACCCAGTCTGCTCTCCACTGAACCACCCTCCTCTTGGCCGTCAGACTGATCTGATTGTGCCACCCTCTGCTTAAAACCCTCTGTGGCTTCCCATTTTCTCAGGGTAAACAGCAGAACCTTTAATGAGGACCAGGAGGCACCTACGCCTGGCCTTCACCTCCAGCCCCTCTCAGACCACTTTATCCGTAGGCCCTGGCCTAGGCACACACTCCTCCCTGCTAAGGGCCTTTGCAGGTGCTCTTCTAGACCGCCCCTCCTCCCTGTCTCGTTTTCCCAAAACAATCTCATTTTTCAGAGTTTAGCCCCATCCAGATTTGTACTCCAAATGCCCCAGCGATTATGTCACTGGACTCCACATAGCTGACCGCAGTTCAAGTCCCGGACCCAGTGGCTTAAAACTTGCACTGGGTGCATGTGCATGTGTGCCCTAGATCCCGGGAGGAGAAGGGAGTGCAGCATGGCCACCTCCCTGAGGGGTGATTTCTCACTTTCCCTCTCACTGTCTCTGTCTCTCCACGCCCCACCCCACCCCCGCGGTCCCCCAACCCACCTGCAAGCGCATGTACTCGAAGGCAAAAACCTCTACCAAAAAATAGATGGCCACAGATATGTCGGAGTTCAACTAAGGATGGAATTATGCACTCATTGCTGGGGTTGATTTCTGCCCGTCCCCTGCGCACTGCCCCGCTGTCACTCCCCCGACTTCTGGAACCAGGTCTGAACCAAAAAAAAACAGAAGGGAAATCTACCCATAGGGAATGCCTCTTGAGCAAATCGGGGACCTCGCTACAACTGTAACTGTACTGTCCTTCAAAAAGATGCTGAAGCCACTTCCCCTCTGTGGGAGTGGGCAGTCACTCCATCATTATTCACTCCGCGCACAGGGTCTGAGCACCTCCTGTGCCAGGTACTGTTCCAGGATGTGTCAGGGAACATGACACAAAAGCCACTGCCCTCATAGAACTTTTTCTAGTGGGGGGACAGACCATGACCAAGTAAGCCTGTAACACCTTGTCAGGTGAAGGTCAGTTCAACAGAGAAAAGTCACGCCCGGTCAGGTGGGTGGTGGGGAGCCCCGATGGGGAAGCGCTGATGCCCCAGGCTACACTCTGGTTCACCCTGTCCCTCGCCACCCTGTCCCTCCCCACTGAGGAGAGGAGAGAAGCAACTGTCATTACACTGAGGGCCTGGGACAGCCCAGGCAAAGCCTATGGGATCTCAGAGCCAGTAGCCACCGCTTTATCTGGACAAATCCAGAAAGGAACTTGGTAGCCTCTAAACACCCCTAGTGAAGTGGAGAAGAACTTGGGGTCTGAAGTCACACAGGCCTGGGGAGACATCCTATGACTGTCACCTGCCCGCTGAGCAACCTCTACCTCTGTGAGCCTCAGTTTTCTTATCTGTAAAATAGGGACCTTGATCATCTCTTCCTCATTAGGGATGAAATGGGATCATGCCGGTAAGCTCATGGGCAGGCGTAGCCAAGTTTATTATTAAACCGTGCTTTTGGAGACGGGCACCATTTGGACAGGAGACTCAGCACAGCATGAGCTAAGGCCCAAGGTGGGACTCCCCGTGTGGGCTAGAAGCAGTGGAGTGCCGTTTGGCTGAGGCCCGACTGGAAGAGGGCAATGGAGTGAAATAGAGTAGGAAAGGCAGGTGAGGGCCAGCCCAGAGGTGCGTGGCGGTGACTAAATAGAAATGCCTACAGTGCTTACCTGGGACAGAAGGAGAGGGACAACAAGGCAATAAATTTTAACAAGTAAATGATACAGGGTGACCTCCAAAACTTCATGGAAAAGTGGAAAACTAGTGCAGATTTATTTTGGTGGAAAAAGTTGATTTATGCAGTTTTTGGTAATATGGGGGCTTTCCTTCCACGAGCTTTGTGGAGACTGCATGTACACTATGCCCTGCAGGATGGGTGTTGTGGACAATGCAGAGCTGCAAGGAGAGGAGCTTTGGAGTGGGAGACCTGGGCTGGGTGGTTTTACTGAGATGTGGGATTTCAGCAGACAGGACAGTGGTAAGAGGGTTGGCCATGCCACTATCTTGGGGAAGAGGGAACAGCTGCTGCAAAGACTGTGAGATGGGGACCATGCCTGTGGGATCCGGAGCAGCTAGGAGGATGGCGAGGCTGGAGTGAATTAAATGAGGGGCGGAGATAGAGGAGGAGAACAGAGGCCATATGGCCCCATGGCCTTCATAGGTGACTTGACTGGGGAAGAGGGAGTAGTTGGAGAGTTTGGAGCAGAGAAGGGGCATTGATTCGACTTCCATTCGAGGTGGAGCTCTCTGGGCGCTGTGTGGTAAATAGGGGTGAAGGCAGAAAGAAGCAGAAATCAGGACCCACGTGAGAGACAACATTGGCATGTTCCAGGGTGCCAGTAGTGGAGGAAGAGCAACATAAATGTGGACACGTCACAGAGCATAGGTTCACCCACCCCACCCACCCAGCCTACCCTCTGCCCATCCTCCAGGCTGCT